ACACACACAGACAGACACACACACAAACACACAGACACACACACAAACACACAGACACACACACAGACACACAAACAGCAGCCAGCTGGAGGACTCCGCTCGCGCATGCGCTGTGCGAACATCCCAGTATGAAGAAGAGAGCAGTGCACAAGTAGCGCGAGAGGTAAACAAGCTTTTTATTCTCGTTTTATTCAATTAAAGCTCAGAATCAGGTCCGAGCGGCGGGAGACACTTTAATAAACGTCTCCGCTTCCGGGACAGACATTAATAACGAGTCACTGTGACGCTGCAGGCTAACAGCTAGCCGTGTTAGCTCGTCCGTTCACAGTCAATGGAGGCTGGAGCACACTAACTCCGTTTAACCGGCCGAGCTCAGTGAACAGCGTCACACACTGGCTCGGTTCTCTTCCACTGCAGCTGTGGTTCGGGACCGTGGGGCTGTTCGCGGCTGTTTGGATCCAGAACCGACTACAGACAGCGTTAGCATTGTTGCTACTGTCAAATAGCTTTAGTGGCTCTCGGGAGGGGGCGGGGCTCTGCTTTGATTGACAGCAGGGGCGTCCAATGAACGTTCGGAACAGGCGTCGTCAGCGGCTTCTCGGCCAATCAGCTTCTTTCACGGAGGGTGCTAACAGATGAGAAAAATGTCTAAAAAGCCCTGAAAGAGTTTGTTTAATTGATTTACATAAACTAACGTCACCGTCCGAGTTTAGATTCATGTTGACTTTAATGTGGTAAAGTAAACATTTAATCTGTAGTAATTCAGTACTATATTTATGGACATGTATGAAAAACTAAATTAAAAAGTTTGGCTGCGACCGTTATGTCAGAGACATTAGCGACGTCCAGCGTCATGTCGTCATCACGTAACGTACAGTAGACGTTGCCTCTAAACTTACTGAAACAACTCTTATATCGTTTTAATATCGTTACAGATGGTAAAATATCTCTATACTGACACACGATGATGTTTTTATTATTATTATTTTTTTTTCATTAAGTTAAAAAAACCTTTAACAGGAAGACGAACACGTAGGCGATGCGCGCGCTCACGACGTCATCGTGTAACAGCTGTCACAAGTCGCGCGCTTTTGGGGGAAATCAATCCCGCTCCAAATATTATTTCAAAATAAAAGTCTTGGCATTTACACTTAATCATGGATTTGTACAAATAATTAAACATAAAAGTCTTGATTTTTACTATAACTACAACAATTACTATAATATATAATTAATAATATAATAATATGTATTTCTCGTCTTTTCACTGAACGTTTTTCATTTCATCTATACTTTAAACATCTACAGACAAACCAATGTGATCAATGAAACTCTGGTTCAGGCTCAAACAAAGTGTGCTGTAAATTCCCAGTAATTGATTTTTAAAAGTACATTTACAGGATTAATTAATTATATAATAATTAATATTAATTAATTATCTCTCTGTTTCTTCAGATGAAGACTCCGCCGGAGAGGTCAGGAATCATCTTCGAGGTCGGAGCTCAGTTAGAAGCCCGAGACCGCCACAAGAAATGGTCTGAACCACACACACACACACACACACACACATTCAGACATACCTGTTGTGACATCCAGTCCTCTAGAAGTATCATTAAAGTACGTCGACAGTACGTCACTGTGTCTCTTTCCTAGTCATAAATCTGTAATAAACATGGTGTTTGGGTTCAAATATTGAACATTTAGAGCGTGTAAGGGCTCAGAACATTATGGTTGAAGTATGTGATGGCCTTTCTCAGGCTCTCCTATGTCTCAGATAGTTTGATACCACAGATTTAGTGAGAATTTAACCATTTTTGACCACTTGGATGGCGAACACTTCTGCTCTGGAAACTGCTCAGAAACACACTCATTGTCATTATAGCTAAGATTATCGTAGAGGACTACAGTGTAATAGCGACTTCAGGCAATGACATCATCACAGAAATACAGTCGGGCTCATTGAATCCTGTTGTTGTCCCGTCAGGTACCCGGCCACCATCGAGAAAATCGACTACGACAAAGAGCGGGTCCTGATCCACTACCGTCAGTGGAGCCGCAGACACGACGAATGGTTTCACTGGAGCTCGCCGTACCTGCGGCCGCTGGAGCGAGTCAGCCTGAGGAGGCAGGGCATCAATCCACCGTGCTCTCAGCCGGTACGACCACAGACCG